GAAGATTTGTTTAATAATTCATATCGAGGTGGGGGTGGAGGGGGAGGGAGGAGATTGTACTTGCATCATTGATATCGAATATCGAAAATTGGGAGAGAACTGCTATCGATTTTGGGCAAGGCCTCCTCGATAGTACTTTGCTGAAGGGGGGCGATGTATACAGCCGCTGATGGAATTATAAGTGCGAGGGGGGTCGGTACTCATTGTCCCAATATCTTGAAGGCATTATTTTTTGGGTGTACCAGGAGATGTAAATATCTCCTTCTCTCCATATATTCCTCATTCCAAAACTCCTTTATTGCTCGCTCTGTCAATTTCTGGAATTCCACCCCTGTCAAAATTCGTTATTTCCCCTCCATATCCACATTCAAAACCCTCCTATAGCAATTCCTATTCCAAAAATAGTCTGATAATTGCTAATCATTCTACAACATACATTTATTTCATACCATTCATTTTGAAATATCAATGCTGTTGTTCGCTAGGGATATTAATTTTCTTATAGAGTACAGATTTTCCTGATGTCACTGAACGCATTTATTGGTTGTTTATAACTATTATCTTTTATACACCACTAAATTCTTGCATATTGTTACGTTAAGAAATGATGATGATGTATTTATATGTTAATAAGCCACTTTATATTGTCAGGTTCAGCTTACTCTTTTCTCATATTTTTTTTCTTAATAGTGTATACAATATTTTTGTAGGCCAATATTTTTTTTATTTTATTTTTTTTTTTTACCCATTTCGGAATCAAATTATATTAACATCCAAGGGAAATGCAAATGGGTATTTACGAGTGTTTAGTATCTAATCAAACAAAGATAGTTTACGCCCCTCTAGATTCACAACGCCCCAATTCCAACAATTTTCGTAAATAATTGTAATTTTACATAGTAAATTTTTACAAGTGAAACGTGGGCGATTCTCAAGGCATTTGAGTACGTAATCGACACCAATATTGAGAAATCAGTAATTGTGACCGATATATCCCTAAATGTACAGTTTCTGAGATTACAATTTTTTTTATTCAGTACACTTTATTCGGTCACCATTTTGAAACTTAACGGTGGATGGTAATGTCAAGTTCCGAGAATTATCTTCAGGATACACTATACATTGACACTATATCTCAAAATAACTGGTCTAGAAATGTCAGAGAAAAGTCGCGGGGAGCAATCGGACGGCTTTTTAAAATTTCGGATTATACATATCTTGAATTGTAGAACCTCAAATTTTTATCAAGAAGAGTGATTTTTTTGTCGATTACAAAGGCACATCATTGTAAATAAAATCCTAAAAATATATATTAAAATTTACTGTAGTCTATAACAAACTAAAAGTGTATTGCTAAACGAAAAATAATATTTCTGAATTCCCTTGGGAACTTCGGATAGTACAGAAATAAACTGATATTCTAAATTCAAATTGAACATGTTTTAGTTTTCATGTTTGTTAATGTCTTCATATCTGAATTTTATAATCCACTTTTAGAAATTAAGAGATACCATTTTTTTATACTCATTAAAATAATCTCTGAACATCTTTTATAGTTCAAATATATAAGAGAAAAGCGTAGATAAGTAAGGTGAGAACTCTCGGATAAGTGTACTCGTATTTTATACATATGCCTGGATCATTCAATTAAATACATGTCTAACTGAGACTGGACTGTCATAAATATATATTTTATGTTCTACATTATAGCAGTACCTAATGATCTAGTAATTAGGAAAAATGGCGGATATAATAAAAAAATAAACCCGCAATAAGAAAACCGTCGACAGATATAGCCGAGCTGCATATTTTATTGAGCCGAAAGCGATAAACCATTAATATCGAAACCCGAAGCGAAGATTTGTTTAATAATTCATATCGAGGTGGGGGTGGAGGGGGAGGGAGGAGATTGTACTTGCATCATTGATATCGAATATCGAAAATTGGGAGAGAACTGCTATCGATTTTGGGCAAGGCCTCCTCGATAGTACTTTGCTGAAGGGGGGCGATGTATACAGCCGCTGATGGAATTATAAGTGCGAGGGGGGTCGGTACTCATTGTCCCAATATCTTGAAGGCATTATTTTTTGGGTGTACCAGGAGATGTAAATATCTCCTTCTCTCCATATATTCCTCATTCCAAAACTCCTTTATTGCTCGCTCTGTCAATTTCTGGAATTCCACCCCTGTCAAAATTCGTTATTTCCCCTCCATATCCACATTCAAAACCCTCCTATAGCAATTCCTATCCCAAAAATAGTCTGATAATTGCTAATCATTCTACAACATACATTTATTTCATACCATTCATTTTGAAATATCAATGCTGTTGTTCGCTAGGGATATTAATTTTCTTATAGAGTACAGATTTTCCTGATGTCACTGAACGCATTTATTGGTTGTTTATAACTATTATCTTTTATACACCACTAAATTCTTGCATATTGTTACGTTAAGAAATGATGATGATGTATTTATATGTTAATAAGCCACTTTATATTGTCAGGTTCAGCTTACTCTTTTCTCATATTTTTTTTCTTAATAGTGTATACAATATTTTTGTAGGCCAATATTTTTTTTATTTTATTTTTTTTTTTTACCCATTTCGGAATCAAATTATATTAACATCCAAGGGAAATGCAAATGGGTATTTACGAGTGTTTAGTATCTAATCAAACAAAGATAGTTTACGCCCCTCTAGATTCACAACGCCCCAATTCCAACAATTTTCGTAAATAATTGTAATTTTACATAGTAAATTTTTACAAGTGAAACGTGGGCGATTCTCAAGGCATTTGAGTACGTAATCGACACCAATATTGAGAAATCAGTAATTGTGACCGATTCTTTATATGTAATCAAGGGACTGCAAAATGCATGGGCATGTAACACATTGCACAAAAAAATTCAGCTAATGAACTTGAAACTAAATAAAAATAGTCAAAAAATAATATTGTTTTGGTTACCCTCACACATTGGCATAATTGATAATGAGGGAGCAAAGGAAGCCGCCAGAAGCACAGATTCACCTGTTTTAGGATCGATGTTTCTCAACGAATGGAGAAGAGAAATTTCAAAGAAAGTGAACAGCAGTTGGAATGCAGAGTGGAGATTACTGCCGCGCAATCACCTTCATCTGACCAAAGACGACAATCGAGCTTGGTATCCTCCAAAACACCTGACATCAAAAGAGTGTTCTATAATAAGCAGGCTCAGAATTGGACATACCAAACTGACCCATCTCCACCTACTTCTTGGCTTACATCGACCAACATGTGAGGTATGTGAAAATGCTAATCTGACAGTTGAACACATATTCCAGTGCAAAAAAATCCGAAAACAGCAAATCGAACTCCGAATTGAAGACAAGGCACCGTACAAGGAAAACATTGGTATTGAAAAAACGCTGAAGTACATCCGAAAAATAAAATTGATAAGTTATATTTAAGAAGAACGATCGTCGCTTATGACCTTGGCAGTCGATGCGACGTTAAATAGAAGCAAATAAAAAAAAATTGAAGGTTACGATGATATGGAGCTATTTACGAAGTTTCAGGCGGATGTTATTAATTTGATAAAAATGGGTCTGTACTATAGACTAAATTTAACAATAAATGTTAAAGTTAAAAATAAATTTAACAATTTTTTCTCTGAAAGATGATTTGTTCAGTAAAATTAGTTCCTATTTTTGAAATTAACCATCAATTATTATCTGTATACAAAAAAAAAAGTTTATGGAAGATAAAATGGGAGCATGATTGCCTAAAATATTTGAGACTATTTATTTGTATGAATGATGAGAGTTGACTTCTTCGGGTGTTAATGTGAATATAATTAATATTTTCAATTAAAATGACTATCAACATTTTTTTTTAAACTCCATTTTTTTCTGGAGAAAATTTCCATTTCAGTTTTGGTTTAATATTGAAGATTATATGTTCGGATGTTGTGGAGAGATGTTATTTAATTTTTTAATGTCGATGAAAGATGTAGTTTATCTGCAAATATGTGAACTTCGTTGTTTATGTTTTGATGATGCCTGAATTTTGGTGTAGGTTTTTTTTTTTTTTTTTTTTGGTTACTTGCATATTTATTTTATATATGGTCATGGAAAACTCATCAAATCTGTTTTTGTAGGGCACGACTCCTGACGGGACGACCTTATATATACACACACACACACACACACACACACATATATATATATATATATATATATATACATATATATATATATATATATATATATATATATATATATATATATATATATATATATATATATATATATATGCAATAGATAGATAGATAGATAGATAGATAGATAGATAGATATTTTATTCGTTTTAAGGGGGTTCCCCATACAAATAGAGCCTAGCTTGGCTATTGTGCAATAAGATGGTTTTACAAATTTACATACATATAATTCAAATATAAATCAAATTTACAATATTTAACGTTTAGAATGGTTTTCACAAAACATGAATAGCAATAAAAATTAAAAACATAAAACGATTACTGCATAATATTGATTATATGAACCAGTTACTATGATAGAAACAATACAAAATAATTTTTTTAATAAATATAAACAAAATATTAGTCTTAAGATAAACTAAAAACAAACGCTTAATAGAACATGGCTATGATCAACAATTTTGTGTATGCACTTTGTGCTACTCCCATCATATAATAGTAAACTTTATTTAACTTATCTATACAATCGATATTCAATATGGATTCGACGTTGTGGTTATCAGAAGATTCTGAGATGAAGTTTTGAAGGATATTTTTGTCTATAGTCATTGTATGCTGGGCAGTGAAGGAGAATGTGATGTAGACTGTTGTAGATAAACTGACTGCATGATATACAGGTTTCATGAGATTCGATCGAAAATGTTCTATTTTTTGAATTGACTCTGATATGTTCTGGGTTTGCAACTCTTAATTGACTAACACATCTCAATTTCATTATGTGGACTTTGAATGTAATGTACATTTCAGGATCGGGAGCATTGTAACTGCATAGCATTCTGTATAAAGGGTAGTTCATGGAGTTTAAGGTTCTTTGTATGTCGGCTGAGAAATAATAGTTGTGTGCTTTTTGAAGGATATCGTCTTTGTGTCGAAGAAGTCCGTTTTTTGGGGTGAACAGAAAGCTCTTCTGCAAAGGCATTAAGCTCGGCTATTGCTCTAAATTGAGGCACCCAATTGAAGTCTATGTCAGGCTTATCCTTATCTAAAGATTTAAGTCTGTTAAAACAAAGTTTTGGGAGTCGCTCTTCTGGCATGAACTCGAGCTTGGTCCATATATTTATCATCTTTTTCATCACTTTCATTCTTACTGGTTCTCTTCCTGTTTCGAGGCGGACTATGTAGTTTGGGGTATTTCTGAGCCAACCAAACAGTATATATATGCAATACAATGGTATTTAATATCAATATGGATAATTTAATACTTATTGTTTTTTCATTTAAATATTGAATGATTATTTTATCTCTTGATAATTAACCAATGATTGGATATTTTTTAAAATATATTTGGTTTAATCTTGGGATGTGGAAATGATTAGAAATATCAATGGGATGAAATCCCGTGTCCCACGCGAGAATTCAGGGGGCTATCAGAAGCTATTTCCCCCAAAAAATAAAATCTTATTTTCATTAGTCCATTTTTGTTTCTATGAGTGATCGAAAACAAATACTTAACATTTACCAAATAATCGAAATCTGTTCTCTTTTTAACGCATATACTTTAGCTTCTAAATGTAAGCACGTGTCAAGAAAACAAAAAACAATTTTTTTCCCAAAAAGCATTATTTTTACTTTAATTACTGTTAATAAATAAAGAAAAAAAATCTATTCTGTCGACTCACACAACTTTCATACCAATTTAAGAAAAGTTTTTATATCTTTTAACATGTTCCTTAAAAAACAAAGCAAAAAAAAAAAAATTGTATTAGATTTATTTTTCTAAAAAATTGATCAAAGAAAAAATTTGAGTACGATTTCTTTGATAAACCAAAGTAAAGTGTAAAAAATATACTTATATAATATACCACACAACTTCCACTTCCCACCCTCTTCTTAGCAGAAATAAGTATATTTAGAAAAAGGGGAATACTTTATATATATATATATATATACACAATATATATATATATATATATATATATATATATATATATATATATATATATATATATATATATATATATATATATATATATATACATATATACATATATATATATATATATATATATATATATATATATATAAGTTAAGCGTCTCCGGGCTTTGTAAACAAAAAAAAAGAAGGAAAGAGGAACGAGAAACAATACTCACGGCTTCTGAATTAACACTGCTTTATTCGTTCAATAATCTGCCTTATATACAATTGCTATGTTTATTTACATTAAAAGATGGTATTAAGGCTGATATCGCCAGTCTCCGGTCTTTATCTCCCCCCCACCAGTTTACGAATAGGATTTTCGGAAACTTATAAATTCCTAGATCGGAGCCACCGGTATCAGCCTTAACCCTTTACAATTATTCGTACCAGTATAAACTTAAAGTACACCAAACCTCACTTCCACTCCGCTGGAACGAGAAATAAATAAAAAGAAATAAACCACAGAAAGTAAACACACAACGTCTTATTAACAATGGAACAGAACTCTTAATCCTATAAAAATTACAATCACCTCTATTATGCTGCCATATCTTTATTTACAAGAACAACAAAAATAATGAAAAAAAATGACATCATCAACAGTAATAATAATAAAAAAAACATATTTTTTTATAATACGCGATAAGGGTACTACGAATCAGTTGGTTTCTGTACCGGTTCTAACATTGGGAGCTTCAATTGTTCAATATGAACAGTTCTCCTCTTCTTAGGTTCGTTAATGCTTTCAATGGTTACCAGATTATGCTCCCTAATAGCAATCACTCTGAATGGGCCCTCGTACCGTAACAATTGTTTCCCTCTGTTGGTTCCAATTCTACGATACACTATTGTTCCGATTTTTAATTCTCCCATTCGGTCACGTACCTGCATATTCTGCCGCGCTACCCGCTTCTCCTTTTCCCGCTGAATTCTCCCCGCTACCTTTCCCCACGTCTTTCCTACCTCTACCCTAGTACTCTGGATTTGCTCTACGAGATGTTCATCGGTCGTTGTTTCCCCCCCAATCTCTCCTTGGCCTGCGCATCCCGAATAGTATTTCCACAGGTGAAAACCCCGTTACGGAGTGGATCGAATGGTTGTAAGCTGTTACGGCTTTCTTCATCGCGACATCCGGCTCCAACCCTTTCTCTCCCTGATATACACGGATGTGGTCACTCAACGTGCTGTGCAAACGTTCGATTCCTCCTCTACTCTTAGGGTGTCCCGGTGTGTTATAATGCCACACAACCTCTAACCTTTTCACCTCCTCCCTAATCGCGGTATTGTCGAATTCTCTGCCACCGTCTGATGTGATCCTCTCGGGAACTCCGTAAAACTGTATCCAGATTTGTAGGGCTTCCGCAACTGCATTGGCAGACTTGTCCATGACCTGATGTGCCATAGCTACTTTACTAAAGGTGTCGATGATCGTGACCCACTTGAACCCTTTCCAGGTGAATGTATCGATCTGGAGGTCTTGTAGCGGCATATTCCCTGTAGGTGTCTCTTCCTGAACTCCTCTGGGGGGGTGTCGATCATACTTCGTGCGCATACATACCTCGCATTTCCCGATGATTCCTTGGATAGATTTTTTCATTCCCCACCAGAAATACTTTCGCCGTAATGCCTGCAACGTCTCGTTGACGCCTCGGTGGTTGGTCTTCCCCTGGTGGTATGCCAATGTAATTGCTTGTTGCTGCTCCTCATCCTGTACGGTTTCCACTGCATACTTGCACCGGATGATCGTTCTATCCATGCCTATTCGCTCGGATCTCCACATCCGCTTTATTTTCTCCCATACCGTGTTGTTCCCAACATAGAGATGGTGTGTCTTTCCCGGTTCCGTGGCGTCCTTTAGTGCCGTACGGATTTGCTCCTCGCTCACCCCGGGTTGCGACCAAATGACGCGAATCCTACTTTTCCCGTATCTTCGGTAATCTATTTTCATGATCCCTGTTGTCCTGGTTTTCCAGATTACCTGTCTATGCTTGTCGTTGATGATTTCGTCTATTTCCTCCATCGCCACTGGTCTTTCCTCCGCTGAGCTATCTTCTTCCGGGGACCCCTCCCTGTCCTCTATACTGACGGTATCATCTGCCCCTTCACCCTCAGGAGTCCATTCCCTCAAGAATTGGCGCACGTCCCGCGATGGACCTCCCCCGTCCTCTTCTACCGCGTTGATCATGATGGCCCTAGAGAGCCAGTCTGCCACCACGTTTTCCTTTCCCGGCTTATACACCACCTCCATGTTGTACTGACTAAGGAATTCTTTCCATCTCGTGACCCTCGCAGAGGTTTCCTTAAGTTTTCCTACCCACTGAAGGGGTTTGTGATCGGTGTGGACTCGAAACTTCCTCCCAAATATATATGGCCTGAAATGGTCGATGGCCCACACTATCGCGAGTAGCTCCCTCTCTAACGCGCTGTACCGTGATTCCGCTTGTAACGCCTTTCTCCAGTCCTCCACCCTGTTCACCGCTCCTATCCGCACCCTTCTTTCTCTCGCGACCCCTATACATCCAAATTTCCTCCTTCCCAGCCTGATACTCCAAGCTCCTCTACGGTTTCTAATGCTTACCCCTACCTGTCCTAACAGATCACACCCTATTATGACTTGGTACTCCCGCGTCATGCTCTCTACCACATGCACCTTTAGCTCCCCCTTTTTCCCTGCCCACCGATCAAGCGTAATTGACGCTTCCCCTTCTACTTTACAGGGACCACCCAGAGTGATCAGCTGGCAGCCACAGTTTTGTATCCGGAGTACCCTCTCGCTCCCGCACACTCTCCCCAACGCCCCCCGAGTCAAGATAGTACTCGAGCTCCCTGTGTCCACGAGACACTTCACTCCCCCGTCTACCTCAATAATCGGCAACCAGCATGGCTTACCTCTAATATTGTTGCAGGTTGCTGTGCGGTCGCCTCTCTGCTGACACCCTTCTCAGATGCCACCTCGCTTCCTCCTTACCGCCGTCGCTCGTCGTTGCTCGCTCCGTTGGCTGCTCCTGCCTCCTTCGCCTCCACTGCTGGCTGGCTCGTCAGTCTCCGTTCCCGACGTCCCCGACTCCTCGGTTGCCTCTTCCGAAGATCCGTCTCTCTGCTGCATCCTAGCTCGTTTTTCCAACTTTTGAGCGTTCACCTCCATTGGCTCGTCTAGAGGTCTCTCTCTCCTGCGAAACATGTACGGGCACTGTCTGGCAATATGCCCTTCCGTCCCGCACTCGAAACATCTAGTGCGCGGACATTGTGCTACCAAATGTCCCGGTTTCCCGCACCCGTGACATTTTCTGTCTTCCCTCCGGGGTCCATTCCTAGGCCTGGACTGTCCGGATCTTCTCTCGCCCGTCGTGGCTTTTTCTCCGTTCGGGTGTTTCATTTCCCTCTTCCTCCACCCGATCTGGGCTGTCCGGGGTCGTCTGTCACTCACCCGGGTCCACCCTGGTTCTTCTACTTCCATCCGCGTCTCTTCCTCTCTTGCACTCAGATCTATCATTTCTTGGGCACACTCGAGGAACGATCGCTCTCTAGGCAGTCCGTCCCTTCTCCCAGTCTCCTTAGCCAACTGAACCTTGAGTATTGTCGAAAGGAATTCCATCCTAGCTTCGACCTCTCCCACACTCATGGTTTCACGCATTTTCTCAGTTATGCGGTTGTACTTCGCCACTAGTACCCCCGCATACTGTCCTCTTGATTGGCGTTGGGACCGACACTCCCTAAACATTTGGAAGATATCTTCTTCCGGCGTCCATCGGCCCCCTCCGAAAGCCTTCTTCAAACGCTCCTTAATCACTGGCCATGGTGTCTCCTCGTCCGCTTGGATTTGGTTGAGGATGTTCCTCCTCACTCGGCACACGAGAGCTGCCTTCAGTGCTTCTGCATCTCCCAGGTTCACGAGGTCCTCCGCCACCTTTGCTTCGATTCTTGATATGAGGCGGTCTCCACCTTTCAGGAAGTGATTAAGTTCACCTATCTCGCCCCCGAATCGCTCCAGGTCTGCGATTGCTCTCTGTAGATCCTGCGTGGTCGCTGCCCTTATCTTCATCCACTCCAATGCATTGGCGTGCGCCTCTGCCAATGTGTCCCTAGGTAAGGGAGGGATCTCTTGTATCTGCGGTACTTGAGGTATCTGAGGTATCTGCGGAATCTGCGGAACCTGAGGGGCGA